AGTAGTTTCACTGATTTTGGAGAGTTTAACTTCTTGGAGAACTTTCCTATGTTTCTTGTTTTTCATCGGATTGAAAATCATGGAATATTTAAGGTCTAGTTTGCATGCAATTTGGAAGCAGAATTTCACCTTTAAGTTTTTTTTGTTTCAGTAACAATTACGGCGTAATCCTTTATTAAAAAAATCCTGTGTTTTGCAAAAGAAAAATTTGTGTTTCTTCTCTGACGCAACCAGACAAACGACTTACACGATCATGTAATTTTTTTTTTCCAATTCATGTACGATGTAACATCTCATGTCATCAAGGTCCAGCTTCTATGTCTTCCTCTCGTGTGTTTGTGAAATCTTGCAAACCAAATAAGCTTTAGATTCATAGGTTCAAGGAATTTAGTCAGAAGGACGCTACTATGTCTTGGTGAGGCTTAACTAAAACCCCAAACCGGCATGCAAATTACTCGTGCAGGAAAAAACTACAAGAATGCACATGCGAACGTCCGCAAAGCTAGATGTGCCACCTCCCGGTAAGTCATTCTTTGGCCGGTAAACTTTGATCGTTTCCTTTACTTCTAAATGGTCCATGGTGCATAAATTAGATTGCTACTACGCGCATGCGCTAGTCGAACAGGCCGTAAGAAAGTCATCCAACCATAGGTTAATATAAATTGCCTTGGATCGGGGAAGGCTAATTCCAACATTGACCGCCTTCCATACCTGCTTCGCGGGAGGGTAGTCATTACATCAATAATGCTACACCTACAAAGACTTACAAAGGTTTATAGATGTGCAACGTCTTATTACTTGCAAAGCATAATTGGTAGGTTAAGTTATGGGGTCATTCCCCGATTGTCAGAGTCTCTGCAATGCGGATTGGGCCATGCAACACAAGCCATGAAAAAAACTTACACTTGAGAATGATCATTGCCTTCCAACTTTTTTGGTTGGTGGAAGGGTTCCAACAGCATTCATGTATGCACCTAAGTTTCATTTGTTTAATTTTGGACCAAGAATCGATTAAAACACGTGAATTAGTTGCACTCACATTATTCTCAGAAACGCACATTACTTGTTCATTGGAGTACAGTATCTAATTTATGTGCAGAAAGGCATTAAGATGGGACCAAGCGAGCCAAGCAAGATGCATGCGTACATACATGCGACGCACTAATGAGCTACAATTTCTCGCACGACGTACGATCAAGTCATTTTCATTGGGATTAATGGGCCAAATCGTTTTGCCGCCAAGACCGGACTGCATATGCACCCTACCTAACGACGATATATGCAGCGCATCGGTCGTCCACCGTCACCAACAATCCCTTGCAGCCCTTCGCCTCTCTTTCTATGGTTCTCTTTTCTCCTTGATTGGCCAGTTTAGTCAACCAGTTGGCTTGAAATTATAGTGCTGATTATGCTTATGTTAATCTTGGCAAGATCTTTAATTATGTTTGTTTGAACATGATTCCTGACAAGTGGCAGGTATAAAGAACGCGGGCTAGTACACAATAACATTTGACTCGGCTGCTGCAGAGTTGATCATTCGTTCCCAGTAGCTCGTCGTAAATTAAATTGATCATTGGTTCTCTAGGGAAAAAGTTATGAACAAGTGTTGATTATCCAAAGAATTCCAAGGCTAGCTAAAGCATGAGCATCGCCGGTCAAACGCATCAATTAGCAGCCCGAAAATAACAATTAGCGATCGAGCAGCCTGCACGATCATTTTTACCGAGACTGCTAGTAGTGGTATGAATTTTTAGATTCCACGGAGGCAACAACGGAGCCTGTTTTGAACAGGGACGTCGCGCCGCCCGTTCTAGATGATTTGGATGGAGGTATTCGTGTCGATCGCCAACTCTCCGTTCGCCGGTCGAGCCAATAAATTTGGTGACGGCAGCAACAAAACCACGTAGTACGTCAACCGGAGAGTGTGTGAAAGACTGAAACCCATGCAGAGGCTGGGTCGAGATCGCCGCCCGCGCGGAAGTAAAACACGCACGGCACGGTGAACCAGAGGCACCCCTGTTCAGAACGAACACGCTACGCTACGTCGGTCGCGACGCCGCACCATGGCCATCGGGCACGTCCGCAGGTGTCTGCTGTTTACGATTCTGTGCTTGCTTAGCCGGGGCGTGCAGCCAGCCGGCCGGTCTAGAAGAGTCAGCTCGATCGCCTGAACACACATGTTGACTAGACTAGATACTGCGATCTACCTTAGTCACATGACAAGATTGAACGCAGATTCAGTACGGGTCGTACTGTAGACTCTAGTAGACCAGTAACTAGTCTCCTTCAGAGAGCGCGGTCAAACTTCCCGATCGAAAAGTAGACGCAGACACGTCCATGTCTGGAAGCCAACAAACACATGAAGCCACTAGTAGTAGTCGTGCGTGCGCGCCCGTTTCCTACGTGCACCAAACCCCAACCTCAAGCTGCGCACACTATATAAGAGGCATCCACCATACGGGCCAGACCCACATATGCATTACACAGTGCAGGCCAAGGTGGTACGAACGCACGCAAAGTACACTGCGACTTTCGACTACCTACCCTAACCGGCCGGCGAGAGATCAAGTCCAGGCTCGAGAAGTCGAGAGCCATGAGCAAGAGAGGCAGGGATGTGTGGGACATGGAGCTGGGCAGCCTGGACACGGCCCGCCTGCTCATGCTCCTCGCGCAGCAGCACCAGCAGCACCAGCACCAGCGCGCCGTCGCCGGGGCGGCGCAGGCGATGGGCGGCGGCCGCGTGTTCGAGTGCAAGACGTGCAACCGGCAGTTCCCCACGTTCCAGGCGCTCGGAGGGCACCGCGCCAGCCACAAGCGCCCCAGGCTGCACCATCCGCAGCCGCAGCTCGCTCTCAGCAGCGTCGACAACGACGCGGCGCTCCGCCTCGGCCGCCAGGCGCCGCCGCAGCCGGCCAGGCCGAGGGCGCACGAGTGCCCCGTCTGCGGGCTCGAGTTCGCCGTCGGCCAGGCGCTGGGCGGGCACATGCGCCGGCACCGCGTCGAGGCCGAGGCCGCCACCAACGCGCCGAGCAGCAAGGCCGCGGCGCCCGAGACGGCGCTGGCGTCGTGCGACGCCGGCGGGATCTGCCTGGACCTGAACCTGACGCCGTCGGAGAACTGCGCCAAGTGCAGGAGCGCGGCGGGGCTCGGCGCCGCTGCCGGGCAGGGCGTACACAAGGCGCTCGCCATGTTAGACTGCTTCCTCTGATCATTCAGATTGCTCGTGCCCCCTGATGTTCCTCGCATGGCGGTGGCTGCTGATTGCTTTCCTGCTAAACTGTTCTATTGGTTTATTTTATACTTTTATTTTATATCTGTTAGATTTTTTTGTTGTAAATTTTTAGATGTAAATGTTCATAGGCTGGCACGCCGGCGTAGTTCTGAAACGGATCAAACATGAACTTTTGCATTTCCTTGCTGTAAATAATACTTCATGAAATTTACCACTTATTGTCGCCCTTTTGAATCATTACATGTTGAGAACGTGTAATAATGTTTGCTTACTAGGCTGTTCATTTCGAAAAGTAAGAGGGTGCTTGGATCCAAAAGACTTATTTTAGTCTTATTAAAAATAGTCTCTTTAAGAGGCCAAAGTTTCAAGCACCCCTGACTAAAGAGGGGCTAAAACTAGTCTTAAGACTAAAAAAATTTAGTCTGGGGTACCCCTACTAGAATGTGAATTAGTCCTCTCTCTTCTCATTTAAGTTCTCTCCTTTAACACAGGCAAGTTCTGGATTGGAGGGTTTGGACGATAATAAATGCTCATTAACTTGATTTTAGTCTTTTTAGTATTTGAATCCAAGCATGAATGAGGCTAGCAAGTTTTAGTCCCACTACTTTTAGTCATGGGACTAAAACGTATCAAGCACCCTCTAAGTCGATTTTCATAAAGTTTTTGTTCCTACTAATGAAGGCTAACATTTGTTTCAGCAAGTCAATTTTCATAAAGTTTCTGTTCCTACTGATGAAGGCTAGCATTTTCTTCAGAACACAAAGTCAAATGACAGACATTTCAATTTTTATTTCATCACAAAAAAAAGACATTTCAAAGCCAATTACGTCAAATAAATAAACACGTCCCCCGCAAAAAAAACATGAGCACAGTCAACCCATTCTGCTTGCAGCAGCATGACAACATGGAACTTTTGTATTGCATTCCTAATAGATAAATGAAAACTGGACGCAAGGAAACAAACATTCAACAGTTCAAAGACGCTTTCTAACTTTTCACCGGCACATCTAAACAAGTAGTATAAATATATAGAACAAAACAAGGTCTACAGCAGTCCATGGAAACATTCAAGCACACACAACATATGTTCATCATTCAGGATTTCAGGTGGTCATTTTTTCATTGACGATCAAAGACAAATTCTACCGACCATTTACAAGGCACGAAACTAACAAAGTTGGCATAGCCTAACGCAGTATGCATGGTACTCGCTCCATCCCGTAATATAAGATGTTATTAAACCAATATGTGACGGAGGGAGTACAATATTACTGGAATATTTGCAATTCATGCAGTTTGCATGTTTGTAGAAAAGGGAGCTCGAATTAACTTCCTCAGGAATGATTTTGCTTGCTCAAATAATTATGGTCATTCATTATCCACCGAAGGATGGCGGGTGCTCATCGGGGAAAGCATCCTAGCAAAAAGTTGTCCATGGCTAGTGCAGCATTCAACTAAAGTGTAGCACGACGCGCAAATGGAGCTCAATGGAGTTTTGCAGATGTAGCAACCAACCGATTGAAAAACTGAAATGCAGTTACATCAGCAGCAAGTGGATGGTTCTCACGATGGCAATACAACATGCAATCACCCCTAGAAATCACAAAAACTACATTAAAAGTAATAGTTGCTGCTGCAAAGAATATAGAAGGTAACACAACAACCACAACATAGTCATCTCCTTAAGTCTTACAGTTCCTATAATAACAAGCTGACAGTAATAAACAGATAAAGTTAAAACAGCCCATGGTAGAAGTCCACGTATTCCTCATGAGCCACAGCAAGCAGATTTCTGAGATTCTGGATTCTCAGAACCTTCTGTCTTGTTAATCTTGATCGTCTGGTCCTATAAGCATCAATGTAATATTTCAAAATCCAAACAAAGTTCAAATCAACATAGGAAAATTGCTCGGTATGACCTTTACCTCGGGCTTGGAATCAGTCTCAGCAAGCCTCTGCTTAATATCTCGGGCAATGGAAAAGAAAACTTGCTCAACATTGAGGTTTGTCTTGGCACTCTGAAAGATACAGCACAAGGTAAAATTGAAGAAGGTTCAATTTGTGAAAAGATCAAACCTTCAGCACAACAACTTACAGTTTCAAAGAACTGGATGCCATATTCATCCGCTAGTGCTTGTCCCTTTGCAGTAGAAACAGCCTGCAATAACAATTGCACAGATAATGAGCTGTGAGCTAATAATACCAAATGAACAACAGTACGAAGACGCTTCTAAGTATTACTCCATCCATTCCTTCTTGCATCCATATTTGGTTCCTGAATGCATGTCATTCTACCATTTTGAGATAACTTTACAGAGATTTTTTTCCCCTTGCATAACCCTACCTTTAGCTAGCCATTTGTTAGACACAACTTCCAAAGGCGGTAAGTAGCCTAATAAGGAGGGCTATAATCTTCTCTACATGCATATGGGTGTGAAGTGTGTACATTTCTAGAATGCGATGCATGCACTAGGGAGTAGACAATAAGAACAGCAGATAACATATAGAGGGAGGATGCCTAGATCAGTACCCTTTTACTCTCATCCATATCAGCCTTGTTGCCTATCAAAATTTTGTTCACATTATCAGAGGCATGTTGCTCAATGTTGCGTATCCAGTTCCGTATGTCTGTATGTTAAAAAATAAACTCAAATGTCAATACAAAAAAAAGAAAATTTTAGCATCTACACTGAAGCTTGAAGAGTGTACTGAAAGACGGTACTGTTGAAAGATGACTCATCCGTGACATCATAAACAAGCAAGATTCCCATGGCTCCCCGGTAGTATGCTGAGAAAAAATTAACTTCACTTGAGAAAAGGATTTTCATATAAGCTTCATAGAATTAGTCTCTAGCACAGAGCGAAACAAACATTGCACCTGTCGTGATAGTCCTGAATCGCTCTTGACCGGCTGTATCCCAAATTTGCAACTTAATGCGCTTGCCATCCAGTTCAATTGTTCTTATCTTGAAGTCAATACTGCACATAGGAATGATTTTAAATAAAGAAGGGCAGACAGTCCCAAATATTTTATACAAACAGGGGTGACACTCTGACAGTGCCTATGATGAAAACTAGAAAGCTTCTGAACACAAAACATACCCTATTGTAGTAATAAAACTAGTAGTGAAGGAGCCATCAGAGAACCGTAGGAGGAGGCAACTCTTGCCAACACCTAGATAATGAGAATAAAAATGGAAGATTTCCAATAAGTGAGTTGGCAAAAGAATAGAGTGAATAAGTATGTCATAAACTATCAATACAAGACTGAGAAAGCCACAAAGAGAAGCATGAGTCCTTTGAGAACTGGCTTACTAACCATTATATTTCGCAACTCACGCAAATGTCCGATAGGGTCAAGCTCATATACTACCAGAAGAGATGTGGCCCAGTTCTTTTGGCCGATTATCCCAGGATCTTGAAAATCAGACCTCCCGAAATAGGTAGGATTGTCAAAAAGATATGGCTTGAAGATTCTGGTAGAATCTGGGGGTGGGTGGGTGGGGGGGGGGGTCCAATTCTCAAGGTTCTGAGAGAATCGGCCAAAAGAACTGAGCCACACTGTGAAATCAAATAGAGTACAACAACACATCACACCAAAATTAAACGTATTTTTAATCTAAAGCACATTATACTCGAGTATGTGATTATTTTATCACGGGTAACAATGCTGATTGTATGTCATCATATCTCACAATTGATTAGTTTTCTCGCTAGCCACCATGCGGGTCTCATACACACAGAATATATCCAGAAAGGATCCGCAAGGCAGCTTTGACTGGTCAATGTGTCTACTCTCTACACTAAATTGCATTGAATAAAGGTTCTTACAGGACCCATTGTATTTTCTTTATAAACTTTCAGTACTGTTCCCATTTTCAGTCACACACTTCCATACAAAACTCAACTAGGTGAATTGTTGTCCTGTACACATGTTTAGACAGTCTGACAGCAAACTAGCCGAGTATTAAATGAGGACCTTCAAAACAACTAGATGCTGCCATTGGTAAAGCATGAAACAACCATACTTGCATAAGTACAAAAGCACCCCTTCTACAAGAGGTTCCTTCAATCATGCAAAGAAACGCATTAGTGGGCAACGGATATCATAGGATACCATTTCACAACCCCACGAACTTTCAACCTAGCAGCGGTGTTCTGAAGAAAACAAACCAAGCATCTATCAAACCAAAATGAAAATAACACAAAATAAACGGCATCCAGTAGGTAGTAGTCAGAGTCATTCCTCTGTTGATCGTAAAAGTTCTTCACCTTTTTGGACAAAGGGTGGATTTTATTGGCTCAAAAGGTAGCATCAAGAGGATACAAACCGAAAGAGCACACACCCGGCCTCTGCATAGCTAGGATGCACACAGCCAACACCAACGGATGCACTCAAAAAACACGCTGGCAAATAGCAAAGTCGTATAAGACCAAAACCATGCATTGGCGAGGAATAAAGGAAAACCCAAAGCTATCAGATCCATAATCGGCAAACCACATCAATGACCATATCCGCGCAAACCAGCTCATGAACCACACAGACAACGAGGTTCTTCAACAACAACGCCTTCAAGAAGGGAGTGACATTCAAGTGTCGCCATCATCGGATCCAACCACCAAGGCCAGAATCTAGGTTTTTAGCCTGAAGAATCAATCCGAGCAATGTCTTCAACAAGGTAACGACATAAAAAAAAACATCGCCATTGCCAGGTATAACCAGCTCAGGCCAGACCTAGGCTTTTCACCTCTCCACCTACAGCTTTGATTATATCACCTACAGTTTCTGACTTTCCAGAGCGTTCGGCGGCGGCTCCGGACGCTGAAATCCCTTCCTTGGCAGCTCACCAAGAAACTAAGGAAGAGCATACTGGTGACTTCCTCACATCAGTGGCACTGCCACCACAGCAGTGATGATGGTTAGGCTTAGGCCTTTATCAATCCGCTGGAGCAAATTAAAGCTGCCAAAACGACCAGTCCATCCATCTATAACTTACAAGCAACCAGGCCAGATGACTTCTAGTTGGAACCGAAGAACAGACGCAGCAAGCCAGTTTATACACAACTATCATCCCCTTACTAACCATTGCGCACTCGCGCAGAGAAGCCCGCGGCATGCCGGGAGAGAGATCTAGCAGGAGGAGCAAGGAGAATCACCGCTGTCGCCGATGAGGAGGAGCTTGATGAGGTAGTCGTAGTCGGCGCGGGCCCTAGCCGGCGGCGCGGCCATCGCGCTCCCCCGGCCCCGATCCTAACCGGCGGCTGGCTGAGCTGGCGAGAGAGAAGAGAGCGGGGTGATCACAGGCGGCGCGATCGGAGGAACATCGGCGGAGTGTGGGGTGGCGGGCGCCGGATTGGTACCGGCCGATGCGGGGAATCGAATCGAATCGGGGACGAGGAGGGGATCTGGGGAGAACAGGCTTGTGTTTTTTTTTTCCTTCTGGAGAGAGAGAGGCTATTTTGGTCAAGACTGCGACGCTTGCTTTCTGAGGGAGTTTTGGGTCGATTGCAACGTGCTGTGACTCGGAATTCCTCCTCCGTTTTTTTTTGGGGGGGTGAAATATTCCTCCTCCATTTGCAGGTTCTGGCCTCCGACGACCTTTCTGGTCTAGAACCAAAAGGTGAAGAAACCAACCATAAAAAAGGAGGAGGTCCGAGGAACCATGGATCAAGGTTTAGCATTAAGAAGATTAAGTTCCTTGTGTGCTATGTTTTGTTTG